CTCGTCTTCATCATGGCATTCAGGTGACAAGTCCACCGTGCACCACGCCGTCTACGGCGGCATCAGAGACATCACATGCAAGTACCGAGGCGCGAACACGAGAAGCCTCAAGCGCCGCTGTGGACCGTAGCTCTTCCCCATCAATCGTCCAAACTCGGTCTCCACGTCGAACACACCTTGCACGAGTGGCGCAGTGGCAACCACATCCCAAGAAGAGAAAATCGTCTAAGTCCACCCAATGAGGAAACAGCTTGCTTACTAAGTGTTTAGAAAAAAAAATCGTCCCGGGCGTTTGTCAATCGAAATAAACCTTGAATGACCATTGATCAATCGGAACTTGTCTTGTCCATCTGCTTCTACCCACCAAGTTGTCTCATTGCTTCGCTGACTCGTCTTATGGCGCTGCCATTTGACATACCAATCAGAGCCATGTAGCCCTAGAGAGTCAAAGCCAAATAAGTTTCGTATGGAAAAGAAATGGGATTTATTTCAAAATAAATGATTTTCTGGTCTTTGGGCTGCTATGGCATCCACAGGAAGCGTATGAACACAAGAGCACCCTCGTTTGATCCGCAAAAATTTAGCGCTTCTGCTGTGCTTGATTTGAAACGCACAGCAGACAGAATCGCCGAGCACGACCCGAAATACTGACTGCCAATTAATCGCACCTGCCTCAATCCCAAGAGCAATATGTTGTTACAAAAAGGGAATACATATGTTACTTTCAAGGAGGTGACCGAACTATCCCGCTGAACAACATATTAAGGTACATTCAATCTTCGACGTTTGCTGCTCCTCCGCCTGGGACGCATTCAAAGCCCATGAGCGAACCGATTCAACCTCATCCGGCTGTATCAAAAATATCCCGCTAATGCCAACTCGCGAAGGAAGCACGCAGTGAATCATCAACTCTTGATGAGGCCATGATCAGCCGCAAGCAGGCCCGCCGCATGCGTGCCCGCCACAACCGTGCTGAGGTTGACAAGACGGGAGGTCCAGTCGCGTGGAGGTGCTTTCCAAATCAAGCGTGAAGGAGACGTGTCGCCAGCCAACTGCGCCTCTAGGATCCTGATAGTCGTCGGTCAGGAAAGGGTACTTTTGCAAATGTTAGCAGTTCAAGGCAACAAGAAATCCTTCAATGTGAATGTTTCCCGGAAGTGTCTTTGGGGATCAGCAGCTGTGTGAGGGGAGCCTCGTTTCAGGAGTATCAATTGCGACACCACGTGTACATGTCAGCTATCAAACATCACTTGCAATCAAAGTCAAACAACTCAGGAGAACAACACATTAAATGCACAAATTTCGTTTTTGAAAACAACTATCAAGTCAACGAAATGACACAAAGGTCAATGACAATTGACTTGCCTACTTCTTCTCGTGGGCTATGGGCTGAACATCAAAGTAGGTAGCCAAGCCAGAACCCAAGTTGTCATTGGCACTGCCATCGTCGTTATCGGGCACTTCACCGACGTCAAGATATCCATCTTGCTCCTCGGTTTCGTCCTCGTGCACGTTCAAGTAGCCATCGTCCATGCCTGACTTTGACAAGGTGGTGGCCCCCGAATTCAGCGCGCCAACTGCAGCACCATCTGCATATAGCTCTTCGTCATCCAGTGGACCTGTGACAACGCCCGAACGGTGCTGTTGCGGGTCAAAGTACTCTGCCGAGCCCTGTGCGTGATGCTGTCGTAGCTGCTGCGGATCAAAGTATTCGGCTCCCGCCCCTGCACGCTGCTGTTGCGGATCAAAGTATTCAGCTGACGCCCCTGCTCGTTGTTGCTGGGGGTCAAAGTACTGACCGGTGAAGAAACGACCATTGTCAGTATGTTGAGCATTTGCGGCATCTGCGTACGGCTGGTCACCTTCACCGACCTCAGCATAGTCAGCCACAGCCCCACCATCATACAAGGGGTTGGCAATCGCTCGCCCCTGCTGCTCGCCGGGCCCGACTTCGCTATACAACCCGGCAGAGCTATCAAGCACATCCGAGTAGCCTGGATTCTCAAAGTGGGTTCGCGTCTCTTCGTCCTTGACCGGACCCACCGAACGCACGCGACGGGCTCTACGGCCCTCTGCACCACTCCGACGCCAGTAACGCACCAAGAGAATGATGACAATCACCACAACCAAAATGACCACCACTGCGATGAGCCAGAGCGGGAAACCACTTGAAGAGCTGGCGTTCTTGGGATCTCGATTTTCTTGAGTGGGATCGTCCGTGGTTTTGGGGTCCCCACCGCTTGTCGGTGTGGACCACTTGCCAAGACCGGCATCATCGTCATCCGTACCCGCGGCATCATCGTCACCCGTGCCCGCGGCATCATCGTCACCCGTGCCCGCGGCATCATCGTCACCCTTGCCCGCGGCATCATCGTCACCCGTGCCCGCGGCATCGTCGTCACCCGTGCCCGCGGCATCATCGTCACCCGTACCAGTATTAGGGTCAGTGCCATCATCGTCGTCGGCGCTGCCGTCTCCGTTGGTTTCTGTACCGTTGACCAACTCAACAGGGTCGGGTTCCAAGGTGGCTTCGTAATCATAAGCGCGTGCTGTTGGGCTCTCGTCCTCATCCACCACATAAAGCGTGCTGGTGGTTTCGCCGGCGTCGTCGTCAGCCCGTCGCCGCCGACTTTCTTCAAAGTGTTCTGTCACATGAATCACCCAAAAGCGGCTGGGATCCAAAACCACGGAAGTTCCATCTACCCGACGCACCACTTGCGAGGCGCGCTGGCGTTCTGGCAATTGCACCTGAGTCATTCGATAGCCGGCCACCAAAGTCTGGGATGAAAATTTCAGTACCTGAGAGCTCGCATTGTACTCTGTGATGGTATTGTTTGTCGGATTGGCAAGTGGCACAACCTCGCGTGGGTCCTGGCTGTGCAACAGCCAAAACAACCCGACGGTTGGCGCTCGCACAACAAATTCAAAGCCGTTTGCTACCGACGACATGTGCAGAAGCTTGTACGAGGACACAGACTCAATCAAGGCCAGTTCGGGCTTGCCCAACACGTTGTTGTATTCCATGTCCACATGGAAATTGGTAAAACGTCCCTGGAGTGTAGTCAACAGTTCCCATGTAACAACCTTGCTTGCCTGTGGTGACAGGTCTCCCAAGGCCACGTTCTCCAATCGCGGCGGCTTGATGACAGCCCCATCCAGTGCCGTCGATTGCAGTTGAAACCCGACGAGCAGTCCCTTCTCATTCTCCACAATTTGTGGCTGCTCCGAAGAGATGCGCATGTTCTCTGCCGTACCATTCCCGTGATTGTGCACAACAACCGCAAGCACAGCTGGCTGTGCGGCCTCCTGCACGGCTGTAAAGGGATCGTCTGACACGATAAATTCTTGCAAAAAGTAGTGCACCGTCATTCTGGGATCGGGCTTGACAGTAATGGTATCGGGAAACAGGTTTGCTTCCGTCGTAACACCGTTGACGGTGTAGGTGAGGGTGCCACCGACCTCGTACTCGACTGCGCCCTGACCAGGCGCTGCCAAGCTGTTGGGCAACATCAGCCACGTTGCTGTTCCCGTGCTGCCACTTGGTAGTGAGCCGCTGCCTGAAGTGCCTGTCAAGGCCCCTTCAAGGGTGGCATTGCCAATCTCAAAAACGTGGCGTGATGATGCGCGCGTAACAACATTGGTGATGATAAACTCGACGTTGATGCTAGTCAAAGCGTATGAATCATCATTCGCAATCTCCAGTTTGGCTTCAAACGCCTGTCGCGTCAGCACCAGTTCCTGCTCGATGCTAATGGTCACCGCTGCACACACACCCTTTTTGTTTGCCGACGCTTCACGCGCCCGCTCAAACGTTTGCTGGGCTCCCTGGAAAGCGGCGAGAATGTCAGTATACCCCAGCAGCCGAGCACTGTCTGTGTCAGCCTTGAGCTGGGTGAAACGCGATTCAATCTCTGTCAGATTGAAAATGTCACCCGCTGTACTATTGAACACACCAGTTGTCCATGCAGTGGCAGTGCGATTGTAGCGCTGGAACCAAGAGGCCACCAGCGAAGCATTGACACCAGCAGGCACTGCGTCAATGACACTGCTTAGCTCATCGTTGGAGATCAGAGAGTCCAAGTCCCCGCCCTCAGCCAAGGCTGGCATGAAGTGCTGTGCTTGGAATGAGGGATTGTAGCTAAACGCCAAGCTCAAATCGTCTGTGCCAAAAATGCTCTGCATCAGCAGGACGTAATTCTCGAGCCAGATCGCAGCTTGATACATTGCTTCAGCAGCGAGATCCTCATCCGCGTCACGTCGCACCAACTCCCAGAAAGTTGGGACCATGTCGCGGCGCCGGCGGCCTGCGCTGCCAACAGCCTGGCCCACACTCGCCGCGCACATGGCTGCTCCAACAGCTGCAGATGCCGCTACAAGAACAAAAAGTTTCAACACAACAACACCACTGTGAGAGGCGAAGTATGGGCCAACGACAACGCAAACATGCTCGAACGATTTGAAACTTACCAGCGCCATAAGGGCCCGTGCAACCCGTGACGATATTACCAACACACTGTACAATTCCAAATGCATTGGTATCACAAAATGGGATGTTGGCAATGGCACGAGGGCATCCACCAACAGTACAATCAATGATGGCGCGCGGAAGTCGCTTTGCCATGTCTTGGGCATCTGCACACAGCATGCTCAGGGCAGCGGCAGCTGCAGAGCCCGCGCAATCATTGCCAGCACAGTTGGCCAACACATCTCCGAGTTTGCAAATGTCACCACAGCGGCCAGGAGAGGAGACTCCTACAGAGGCATACACGACGCGACCACTGCTCCCGCCTCTGACATATGCTCTTGCACGGCCAGCGGCAGTACACGGCCGGCCACCACCTGTCATTTCAATCGCCACACCACGGGTTTGTCGGCCGTTGCAAACATAAGAATACTGGAAACGGCCGGTGTAACAAGAGCCAGCATACGGGCCGCCAGAGTTACTGCCACTGCCACCGCCACCGCCACCATTGCTGCCACCACCGCCATTGCTACCGCCACCACCACAGCCGATGCACCCGTCGTCATTGTCATCGTCATTATCATCGTCGTCGTCGTCATCATCCAGATCGTCGTCATCGGTTACATCGTCGTCGTCGGTCGCAGCATCATCATCGCCGGTCGTGGCATCATCATCACCGGTCGCGGCATCATCATCGCCGGTCGTGGCATCATCATCACCAGTCGAGGCATCATCGTCACCGGTCGCGGCGTCATCATCGCCGGTGACGGCATCATCGTCGCCGGTCGTGGCATCATCGTCGCCGGTCGTGGCATCATCATCACCAGTCGCAGCGTCATCATCGCCGGTGGCAGCATCATCATCACCAGTCGCAGCGTCATCATCGCCGGTGGCGGCATCATCGTCGCCGGTCGCGGCATCATCGTCGCCGGTCGCGGCATCATCGTCGCCGGTCGCAGCATCGTCATCACCAGTCGCAGCGTCATCATCACCAGTCGCAGCGTCATCATCGCCGGTCGCAGCATCATCATCACCGGTCGCAGCATCATCATCGCCGGTCGCGGCATCATCATCGCCGGTCGCGGCATCATCGTCGCCGGTCGCAGCATCGTCGTCACCAGTCGCAGCGTCATCATCACCAGTCGCAGCGTCATCATCGCCGGTCGCAGCATCATCATCACCGGTCGCGGCATCATCGTCGCCGGTCGCGGCATCATCATCACCCGCGATCACGTCGTCGTCATCTACAATGATTGCATCGTCGTCGTCATCATCAGCATCATCATCGCTGCCACCAATATTGTGCACAATAACTCGATAAGAGTATACGATTGTTGTCTGAGCAGGTACTATTTCGGCAGGCTCGCTCAGAGGCACGAATTCAATCACCGGGTGATCAGTTGGTAAGGCCAACGTCGGGTTCTCCGCGGCAATCAGGCCGTGGTTGGTAATGATAAAATCAAGTTGAGAAATGTCACCGTACGAAAGGCGATCGAGATCAATCGATGTTGGTTCGACCGTGACCACAGGCATTGGTACCCGAGTTTCAAACTCCGCCTCCAGCTTGAAGGTGTACGTCTCTTCCACTTGTGTGGGTGTCACCGTCCAGACATAGCTGACCGCAGCACGTGCCAGAAACAGTCGGGTCAGACCAAGTTCGTTGTTGACCCGCACCAATGCAGAGTCAGCTGAATGGCGCAAAGCCTGGGCGCTCACTTCATAGTAGCCCTCGGGAATGTTCCGAAACACCACAGTCCCAGAGTCACCGGTCTTGAGTGTTTGCCGGAAGCTGCGACTCTGCCCGACGAGGCGCACGGTGGCATCTGACACATTGGGCGCGCCCTCGGCAAAATACGTAAACTCGTTCTCCACCACCACGGGCACGTCGTAGGAGGAATTGCTGGAGATTGTAAAGTCAAGCTTAATGCTAAGCGAATTGAGCAACGAGGCCTCCGCCGAACGCACGACAATGGTGGCGGTGCCGCGGCGCAGATCTGCATCGGCTTGCGGCGTGATGACCAAAGACACCTGTGCGCTCTCAGACGGCTCGAGAGGTGCTAGCATGGGCATGCCTGTGCTGATCAGTGACTGTCCATCAGGGACTTTCACAATGAGTGGTGGGGTAGCAGCACTGCCCGTGTTGGTGATAGTGACGAGGCGGCTGCTGGAGGCGTTTCGGATGGCCGTCACCGCAAAGTACGTGGATGAGGCCTTGATGCGAGCAGCGGGCGCAGTTACACGAACAGACACCGTGACTGGAACAAACACTCCATAGCTGGCTTCAGTGATCCGCAGGCCCACCAGCACGGAGCCGGTAAACTCGTCCGACACGCTCGCGGATAAGCGCAGATTGGTGTAGCTGCCACCAGCCAGGTTTGTACGATCAAGGAAGGCATGCAGGCGAACTTCATCTGGTATCGGCACGCCATACAATCCACCCAGCGTCAGCTCCACGTTGTCAATGTCCACAGACGAAGGATTGGCAACACGGGCTAAGAAGACAGTCTGGTTATCTCCAGACAACAGCGGCACCTCAACAGAGGTCGGTGAAGCTGTTAGACCCGCCACCTCCACGGTCCGTTGGTCATCCATGACCGTTGCGTCTGCGTGTGAAACACCCTAGTTCCGATTGGCATGTGTACATGTGAACATGGGAAGCCGACAAAGAAAGTCGCAAAAGAAAACTTCAGGCCAAAAAAATTTAAAAAAAGAAATAACAGTGGAAAAAAAAACAAAAAAAAAAGGCCCACAGATATGTCTGTTTCTCTGGGCCGCCCCTCAGCTGGAGTGTGGATGTATCGCGATAAACATTGAGACAACACGAACATACCACTTGAAAGTGACCAAGATCCGTGATACTGAGCTGCTTGAAAAAGTGACCAGTGGCATTGGTTATTACACGCATGATAATGGCTTGCATGGCAGCCCGGCGTCGATTGTGTGATGTGGTTTGCGTAAGCCTGCAATTCGATACCATGCGTGCGCGCGTGCCACAGAGGACATGAAAATGAAACAGAGTGTGAAAGGTAAGCCTCGATTCACAACCTTGCCCGAAGCTGGTGCACGAATTTCGTGAGAACCATCAACATACCAGATTTTAACCGGAAGCGCCTCCAGGCTGTCCAACGTAATGTCCGGATGACTTTTGTTGACCACGCCTGTCAGATGTACTAATGCTGGTGAGCCCTGAATGTCGAGCGTTCCAAGTGACAAAACCTTCGCCTGATAGGCAAAGGGAACTGCCACGCCCCATGCGACGGAACCCGCAGCATAGGCGTTGCGGGCCTCCACGACAAACGAATGTAGAGATGATGCACTTGTTGCCTTGGGCCACACAACGGTGCCATCTTGCAAGTAAGCACCGGCCGGCGCCTCCATGAGAACCCATGTGATCTCCCCATTTCCGGCTTGGAGATCGAGCCGCTGCGCAAAGGCAGCGCCAGGCAAAACAGTGGTACTGCTCACGGGTTTGATCGTCGGGCGCACATATTGCTGCGAGCATTTGTCGCCAAAAAACTCTAGCTTACAATAGCACTCACCAAACACACAAAAGGCACGATTTGGAGGACAGTCTGTCTGCGGGCAGTTACCCACATAGCTGTAAGACTGTCCCGAGCTGGGTCCCACAAAGGTGGCGCCGCCGTCAAATGTGACCCTGACGGCCACGGTGGCAGGTTCGTGGCGGGGCGTCACACAGGTCAGGGTCTCATTGTTCACTACTACAGCCCGGACTGCTAGGCCGTCAAAGACGCACGATACGTTGGGGCGGTTCGATGGCATGTTGTGAATCGTCAACGTGACGGTGGTACCGCCAAAATCCAAGCCCGTCGTCGGCGTCAGACTCGCTAGCCAGGGCAATGGTTGGCACGATCCACCATAATGGCGGTCAATGCAATCCGCGCATGCGTCGCCGGTGAAGGTGGCATCGGTGCAATAGCACAAACCTCCTTCGCCACATTGACCGTGACTCGAACAAGGCACGCACCGTGCGCACGTCGAGCCCCCGTAATTGGCAGCGCACGATGAGCAGTTTGACCCAGCAAAGCCGACGGCACATTCGACCGATACGGTCAGCGTTCCCGTACCATTGCGCGGCGGGGAACCTGAATCCGAGGCAACCACAACCAAATCAAAAACCGGCATGGTGCTTTTGTTAACTGAGCACGCCAGGCTCAGTCGGCCGGTCACGGCATCGAGAGAAAAGCAACCACTGGGATCAGAGATCAGCTCATATTGGATGCCAAACGAGTCTCCACTGTCCCGATCGGTGGCTTCAAGCCAGCGGACGTGGCCCAATTGTCCCTCGCGCACAACAAGTGCCGCTGTGGAAGCGACGTCAAATGCTGGGTCGTAATCATTGATTGTGGCCAGGTCGCAAGGAAGACAGCCACATGCACCACTCAAGTAAAAAAGGTTGTTCAAATCCAAGTCGACCTCGTAGTTGTTTTCACCGCGCACATGTAGGTCATAGTAACTGTCGTACGATGAAGTCTCGTAAACCTCAAGCAGCAGGGGCGATGGAACGGAGGCATACAAGTAGATTTTCGCACTGAATCCGCCACTGGTTGGCAACACCAGTTGGTTGGCCACGCGCAATAAACCATTCATTCGGTCTTGAACGAAACGAAAACGGTACCAGCCGTTGCGAGGCACTTCCAAAAAGGCCTCATAGCGAATGGCAAAATATGCATTGGGCACGCCAGCATACGGTGCGTCGTAGCCAAAATCACGGCCCAGCTTGCTTACCGAGTCGGTCGCCACCAAGGAATCATATGAGCGATCCGTATAATAGCGAGCGACTGCTCCTGGCAACCGCTCGACATCGCTCCCATTGCACAGAGGCAGGGAGATGTTGCAGGTGGCCCCCGCCCAGCCGGGCTCGCACACGCAAACGCCATCACCCATGCAACAGCCATTGTCGCACTGGTCGCACTCGGCACGATGCCCCAGCTGCCAATCAGCAAATGACCAGTATTCGGCGGCATCCGCAGACTCGGCCAAGGTGGCATTTGCAAAGGGCCCGGCGAGCTCCAAGGAAAAGGTGGCCGTATACCGAGAATGAGTGACCACGACGGACAGGTTTTGCCAGCCTTGCCCAAGCTGCACCACACTGGCCGACGAGTTGGCAAGCACCCAGTCGCAGCTCACACGACTCTCAGGGCATTGAACGCGATACCATCCCGCAGCTGGGGACAGGACCATACCCTCCAGCTCAAGAGCAAAGTAATCTGAGTTGACACCCGGATAAGGGCTATCGCTCCAGGAGGCGGCTGTGTAGTCGACCACTGTGGAGGCAACCACAATCAAACGCTCTACTTCGTTGTAGAACCGCGCACGCAAACCAGGCAGTTGGCCCATTTCGCGGGGGCAGGAATGATATTGGCACGCGTTGCCATCAAAGCCAGCCTCGCAAAGACAACCGTCGTTGGTGCAGGTCCCGTGCAAGCCGCAGGTACCATCCCCCGGACACAATTCTGTGGTGCATGATGCCTGCAGGCCCAAATCAGGGCAGGCGCACTGGCCGTCAACACAGCTGCCCAGGCCGCTGCACTCGGCATTGTTGCTTCCCAGAGCAGGATCATGACAGTCATCGTGCCCCAAACATTCGTCTGTGCGGCAGCGCACTTCGTTGCAATTGTCACCCACAAAGGCACCGGTGCAAGCACAAAAGCCGTCCAAACAATAGCCCTGGGTGTGTCGAGTGCAATTGTCCGGGCATGGGCAACTGACGTCGTCCGGCAGTGAAAATAAAACTGAAGAAGGCACAATGTGCTCCATAAAGCCTGGTCCCGTCCAGTAAAGACGTGCTGCCGCGTCATAAACGCCCTCGCGAGCGTCGTAGCGTAGCTCATAATAGCGGTCGGCGTGCAGATAGATCTGCGTTGACCAGGCGTCTTCCCAGTCTACCAAAAGTTGATTGGCCACAAACAGACGAGCCGACATGTGGTCGGTCCAAACTCGGAAGGTGTACCAACCCGTTTGCGGCGGGAGAATGTACCCTGACCAGACGGCGATGAAATAATCGGATTGCACCCCACTGGCAGGGGAGCCATATCCATAATCGACGTGAATATTGCTGGCCCGCTGCGTTACGACTGGAACACCATCCACCATGGCATCTGTGTAGTGGCCGTTGAAAAAGCGCAACTGCAAGCCCGACGCGAGCGAGCCGCGGGGTTCCGAGGCGCACGTCGAGACCTCTACCTCACAATGTGGCCCCGTGTAGCCTTCATCGCACGAGCACGTGTTGGGTGCCACACAGCAGCCATGGTCCGAACAACCACCGGTGCACACGGCTTCGTGTAACAGTGCAAACGATGGAACGGCTTCAAAGGCTGTCGAGTCGGTGCTTTCAGCCAGCGAGGAGTTGACAAAAGGGCCCATCCACTCAAAATATACAGCAGTGTCATAACGATCATGCTGCCATTCCACCTTGAGACGAAGCAGCTCGCCCCGAGTCAAGAGCATCGAATGAGCAGAGTCAGTGTATTGTGTCCGGTTTAAGAAGACGCGACCCGAGCCGCGTTCCCACCCCAATCGAAAGCGATACCACCCCGTCACCTTGGGTCGCACAAACCCCTCGAACGTGGCGCTAAAATAATCGCTCGGCAGGCCGGGGAATGGAATATTGCCGTCCAAATTACGATATATGTTTGGCTCGGCAATGGAGATGCGCCGCTCTCCAAACGCGGAGCCAGCGTAGTAGGTAGTCAAGATCCCTGGCAGCATGGCACGCTCATTGCCACATACGCTCAGCTCGCACGCTTCCCCCATGTAGCCGGTGTCGCACTCGCACTGGCCCGCGGCATTACACGTGCCTCGCTGGGAGCAATCGACGGTGTCTACACAACCCTCTCGCGTGCACCGGCTTTCATCGGCAAAACCACTGTTGCATTCACAAACACCGGCCACGCAGCGGCCTTGACCATTGCACTCAGCATTGTCACTGCCGTACGCTTCATCGTAGCAGTTATCATGGTAGCGGCACTCATCGGCACGGCAGCGATAGTGCTCACAAGACGTGCCCTCAAATTGGCCGTGGCACACGCACATGGCATCTGCACACACGCCTCGACCCGAGCCGCTGCACCCACTGCTGCCACAACCACACATAAAGCCATCTTCGTAATGGTAAAGATTAGCCGAAGGCACCAAATGCTCCATAAAGCCGGGGCCTTGCCAGTAAAGCCACACTGAGGCATCAGACGTGCCATCACGTGCATCAAAGCGCATGTCGTAAAGGCGACCCGCCACGAGGTAGACACTCTGAGACCAAGCCGTCGTCCACGTGAAGAGCCGCACCCCACCCAGGTACAGCCGGGCGTCCATCGAGTCGGTCGCCACACGGAACCGATGCCAGCCCGTTTGGTCAGAAAGAAGCCAGCCACTAAAGACAGCAGTCCAGTGGTCACTGCTGATGCCCGAGGCCGGCGAACCATAACCCCATGCGAGGTTGATGCGACTCTTGACTCCGCCGTCAGCCCAAGTCACATTGGCGGTCATGGCGTCTTCTTGCACGCCATTAAAGTAGCGCACCTTGACGCCGCCAGATTGCAATGCCCCTCTGGGTGCGTCTGGTCCGCAAGTCGACAAATCCACCTCACAGTTTGGACCACCATAGCCCGGATCACACGAGCAGGTGTCCGCTGCCACACAGCAGCCGCGGCCCGAGCAACCCCCGGGACACACCGCCTCGTGCAGCAGCACGTGTTCCGGAACTGCCGTAAACTCGCTCGACGGCGCTGCCTGCGCCAGCGTCGAATTGGCAAACGGCCCCATCCACTCAAAATACAGCGATGTGTCTGATGTGTAGTGGCGCCATTCAATCTTCATACGGATCATGTCCCCGGCCTCATACAACAGCGCACTGCTCGAGTCGTCGTACTGCGTTCGGTTGAGATAAAAGTAGACATCACTGCGCTCCCACCGCAGTCGGAAGCGATACCAGCCCGTTTCCTTGGGCCGCACAAACCCCGCATAGACCACGCTAAAGTAGTCGCTCGGCAAACCGGGATGCGGTTCCCCGTAGGCCACATCGGTGTACACCGATGGGACAGCCACCATGGCGCGCCTTTCGTTGAAAGCGCTGCCGTCGTAGTAAGTGGCAATTAGACCGGCAAGCGTGGCACGATCATCCCCGCAAACGGTCAGCTCACAAAATTCGCCCATGTACTCGGCATCGCACTGACACGTGCCATCTTCGCCACAGACTCCATGGTAGGAGCAGTCAGCCTCGTCGACACAGCCTTGGCGAGTACACTGGCTTTCGTTGGTGAGACCCGATGGGCATTCACAAAGACCGGCCATGCAGCGGCCTTGACCGTTGCACTCGGCATCGTCACTGCCATAGGCTTCATCGTAGCAGTTGTCATGGTAGCGGCACTCGTCGGCACGGCAGCGATAGTGCTCACAGTGCTCGCCCTCAAACTGGCCGTGGCACACGCACAGGCCGTTGGCACAGACACCGCGCTCGTAGGTCGTACAAGCGTCGACCCCGCAGGAGCAAGCAAAGCCAGTTTCATAGTGAAAGAGATTGGTCTTTGGAATAATTTGCTCCATAAAGCCCGGGCCTTCCCAATAAAGCCACACGCCAGCGTCTGACGTGCCGTCACGTGCATCAAAGCGGATGTTGTAAAGACGGCCCGCCACGAGGTAGACACTCTGAGTCCAGGCCGTCGTCCACGTGAAGAGCCGCACCCCACCCAGGTACAGCCGAGCGTCCATCGAGTCGGTTCTTGCACGAATTCGGTGCCAGCCTGACTGGATCGGGAGCAGGTAGCCCGTATAAACGATTGTCCAGTAGTCGTTGTCGATGCCCGAGGCCGGCGCACCATAACCCCAGTGAGAGCTAATGACCGTGCGGACTCCGCTATCAACCCAGGCAGCAGTGCTGGTCAAAGCGTCCTCAAGGCGCTCATCGTAGAACCGCGCACGCAGACCACCCGACTCTAGGTTGCCTTCAGGGGCATCGTCTCCACACTCGGAAAAAGCCACTTCGCACCGCGGCCCGGTAAAGCCCGGATCACACGAGCAGGTGTCCGCTGCCACACAGCAGCCACGGCCCGAGCATCCCCCGGGACACACCGCCTTGTGCAGCAGCACGTGTTCCGGAACAATCGTAAACTCGCTCGACGGTGCTGCCTGCGCCAGCGTCGAATTGGGAAACGGCCCCATCCACTCGAAATACAGCGATGTGTCTGATGTGTAGTGGCGCCATTCAAGTTTGATGCGCAGCTGTTCGGCGCGCGTCAGGAGCATGGCATTGTCGTCGTAGGAGGTCTGATTCATATAAATGTACGCATCGCTATTCTCACGGCGCAGTCGGAAGCGATACCAGCCCGTTTCCTTGGGCCGCACAAACCCCGCATAGACCACGCTAAAGTAGTCGCTTGGCAGTCCGGGATGTGGGGCGCCATAGTCAATGTCGAGATAAACGGTGGGAACCGCCACCATGGCGCGCCTTTCGTTAAAGGCGCTGCCGTCGTAGTAGGTGGCAATCAAACCGGCGAGCGTGGCGCGATCATTTCCGCAGACGGTCAGCTCGCAAAACTCGCCCATGTACCCGGTCTCACATTGACAAATACCATCCAACCCACACGCCCCGTGGTTGGAGCAGTCTGACGCATCGGTACAGCCTTCGCGGGTGCACTGGCTGTGATCCGTAAAGCCATCCTCGCACTCGCAAACACCAGCGACACACCGCCCCTGGCCATTGCATTCGGCGTCGTCACTGCCATAGGCCTCATCGTAGCAATTGTCGTGGTAGCGACATTCGTCAGAGCGGCAGCGATAATGCTCACAGTGTTCGCCTTCATGAAGGGGATCGCATAGGCAGGCGCCGTTGTTGTTGAAGCCGGTTTCGTTGCAAAGAAAACCGATTTGGCAATAGCTGCCCTGGGTCGGAGTGAAAAGTTCTGAAGTGGGGATGGTGACCAGTTCTTGACCTGGAGGTGCCCAACGCAGACGAAAGTGGCCCGAGTTGACGCTGTGTTTGTAGCTGGCGTGCAGATCATAGAGGCGGCCACCGATGAGGAAGATGTCGCGGCTGGTGCTGCCCATGAGGGGCATGATAACGGCATGGGGTCCGATGAGCGCAACACCATATCCACTGCCCATGGTGGTCTGAAAGGTGTACCACCCCGTGACGTTGACGCGCAGCTTGCCGTAAAAGGTGAGAGACCAGTAATCACGGTTGCTGATGAGAGAGGACGGCGTGCCGTAACCAGCGCTAAAGTAAGGCGAGCGTTGGGTGAGCTGAGTCACGGGTGGTTGCCCAGACCCCCAATAATAGTCGCTATAGAGGGCAATGTTGACGCCGCCCGGCAAGTAGGGCCCCTGTGGATGGTCCGTGCCGCAGTTTGGGGTGTCAATGGGCACGCTACAGTCGCTGCCGGTAAAACCTTCGGGGCAAAAGCACTGATCGGAGACTTCGCAGCAGCCACGAGCAGAGCAGCCGGCGGTGCACACAGCCTCGTGTTCCAGGTGGTCGGCGGGCACAGGGGCAAAGCTGGGCTCGGCCCCTGGGTCGGCGAGGGGGCCAGACCAATCAAAGTACCAATAGGTGTGGCTTGTGGAGTGCTGAAACTCCAGCTTGAGGCGATACGCTTGGCCGGCAGAAAGGTACATGGCCTGCTCGGTGGTCGTCTGATTGCGATCCACAAAGATACGGCAGGCGCCTTGACGGTAGCGGCATTGAAATTTGTAGTAGCCCGTTTGGGTGGGACGTAGCACCCCTTGGGCCAGGAGGGAGAAGTGGTCCGAGGGAAGAGGATACGGGGCGCCGTAGTTCCAATCAAAGCTGATATAGGGCCAGACCGTTTGCCCGCCGTCCATGGACCTGAAGCTGTAGTCGTCGTACATGTTGACCAACAGACCGGGGCGAAACGCCCGCATCTCGTTGCATTGTTCAAAGGCACACGCAGGGCCAAAAAAGCCGGGCTCGCACTCACAAGCGTTGCTTGTGGTGTTGCACTGACCATGATTGCAGCCTCCGACCTCACATGCACCTGTACAAGGGGATTTGGAGTAAGACTTGGCATCATATAACCACACACACACACATAAACAATTAAAAAAAATCTAAAAAAAAAAAAATTACAAGGGGCAAAGAGGGAAAACAGGCGAGGGGGGTGAGCAAGGATACCTTGCGTGACGTCGGCCAGTTGAGACAAGACCAGGCACAGGCCCATGAGCAAGGGCACGACCCTATTTGAATGGATCATGGCGCCGGTTGGCTGGCTAGATTGTGCCGCACCAAGGGCCGTACAACAGGTGGGGGGCGGGCGGCGGTGAGCATAGAACAACTTTTCACCGTTCAAGAGTCAGCACACGATTTTGGCTCAAAATTGATCGCTAGAACAGCAAGTCACGCGTGATCAGGCCTTACCGCGATGCGCGCCTCGGGTGACTGCGTGCGGAAAGAGGGGGACAGAGGGAGAGGAAACACGCTCGCCTCTGAACAGCGGAAGAGGGATTTGAAGGCACTAGCATTCGAATGCCATGATTTCTACGCCGAGCGAGCGCGGCGATTCATGGGTGCGACATGCGCGTGTGGGGGTCAGCGCAGGGCACGGCAGGGAGGCGGGCAAGCCCGGGCAAGCCGGGGCGGCGGTCGAAAGAACACGTACATGTCAGAATCGACGTGTCTGAAAGCCTGCGCAAGATAAAAAGGTCCCCCCCCTGCAGCACCAGAAGAGGAGGAGAGCCCGGACGGGGGCAGACGAAAAGGAAGAGTGCGTGAGGGCTCAGGATTCTGGGGAGCTGACGCGCGAAGGAGCAACACACGACGACCGAGACAGAGATGGAAATCACCCCGAGACAGAAGCAAAAAAAAAAGCCAGAACCCGCACTGCACACGGCCACAAGCGCAGAGCGAGCCCGCGCACGCGAAGCCCAGAGAGCGAGCGGGCCGCGCAAAAGACACTGATACACACACACACACACACACACACACACACACACACATACGCCCGGAGAGAGAGAGAGAGAGAGCGCGCGGCGCGAAAATGTTTTTTTTTTTCTCTCTCTCTTTAATGAGCCGTGCGCGGAGGGGGGGGGGCTAGAGGGAGGGAGGTACGAGGGGGGCTGGGGTAGAGGTACGTTTTGAGGGAGGGCTCGGAGGTAGAGAGGGAGTGAAAACATGCACAACATTCAGAGAGGGGCAAGGTTTTTAGATAGTCTGCAAAGTATTTTAAAAGCAGAAAGCAGAGAGCAATCAGATCGGTCGTGATAATGTCAGAGAGGTGTTCACCACTACCCATTCGTTCTAGAGATGAACGGAAATCGAAAGGAACGAGCAAGAGGGAGGATGGCAAGAGGGCGCTCATGTCCACTCGGGCCATACATGGCAGATGCCAAAGTCACACACCCCACACACATTACCACACCGATACGCACCACTTTACAACGATTTCCCTTGATATCATCACACTTGCCGATCGTATGGCACATACGTGCAGCGCCCCCATGCCACACGTATCACCGCAATTGGAGTTGACACACCACGTCAACTAATTACACATGCATCATCCCTATAACGTTATGCATCAGTTATCATTGTACATGCCTTGCTATCTACGTAAAGTCGGCTAGTCGCTACAACTTCCTTTGATGGGCGCATGGCCAGAGGGCGTTTTCGAGTCGCGTCATTGTCATCCAAAATTATCAATTGATGTGTACACTATGTCATACTATACACTCTTCCTTCAAACCTTGCGTTGACTAAAATACCAATTTCACATGTAACTCTTCAATATAAACTCCTGTTGGAATTGTCAGCATGCGGACGTCTCTCCGGATTTCGGCAAAAAAAAAAAAAAAAAGAGAGAGACGCCGCTGCAGCGCATTTGACACCTGCTGCTTCCCCCATCCTCTCTGCCTCCTCTCTGCCTCCTCCTTCTATCCCCTCTTCCTTTCTGCCTCCTCCTTCCTCTCTGCCTCCTTCTATCCCCTCTGCCTCCTCCTTCCTTTCTTCCTCCTCCTTCCTCCTGCCTCCCATTCCTTCTTCCTCCTCCTTCCTCCTGCCTCCCATCCCTCCTCCCATCCTCCTTCCCCTCTGCCTCCTTCCATCCCTCTTCCTCCCCTCTTCCTCCTGCCTCTCAAAACACTTGTGCCTTCATCCTGATACGACAAACAGCTTCTGGCTCTCCCCCTCTTTCCTGATCCCCTTTGGCTTCCTGAGCTTGATCCTTTTTGCACAACATGCTGGTCGCTGTGGCGTGGTGTGCCGAGGCTTGGGCCAGCCATTCCAGGGCGCCTGGCCAAGCTGACTCTGATGCTGCCATCGACTGCATCAGCAGCCCCGCTCCACAGACCACCGCTACGATGGCCCGTCGAGGGCAACGCCTTCGTTCCGCATGTCGCAGTGCCTCCAGCCTGCCTGCCTCAGCCTATCTTGACATCCAGCACCCAGATGATGTTCAGACGCTTGCTCTCACTCTGAGCCCAAAGGTCCCGTTGCGCTCTTCAACTGCGTTGGCCTCCCCCAGTATCCTCGCTCACCCCCTCCTTCAACCACGCGACAGGATGGAAACGCTCCGCTGCACTGGGCCTGCGCTCGGGGCCACATTGACCTGGTTCACCGCTTTCTTGCCGCCGGTGCATCTGTCGATGCCCAGACCACGGTTCGCTCGCCCACCCTCACACATACACGGGACGGGGTCTCGATCACACAAACCCACGGCATGGACATACAAACAAATAGCATGCTCATTTGCCTGGCCCTGTGCTTTCTCAATCCCATCAATCCGATCGTGGCCCTCAGCTCGGTCGAACGCCGCTTCACATCGCCTGCGCAAATGGAAGAACCGCAATCGTTGAGGCCTTGCTCAATGCCGGTGCCAATGTCAACGCCAAAGAAAACGTGAGCCCTCTCAACCCAGTCATCCACAGCTTTGCCCGGCTTGTTGTTCACTTCCTGTGGCAACACATCATATTCAGACGGGCTGGACACCACTGCACTGGAGCTGCCGCTACGGTCACCTCGACATTATCAAGCGCCTGGTTGAGGCACACGCTCAAATCAACGTCCTGGATCGTGTAAGCGTGCCTCGTGCAAAGAGAAATCGCTCTTCCTGGAAACTTTGGCAAAAACCTTGTGCCTATCCCATAAAGCTCATTTTTTTTTTTTAAAAATTTGGCTTTGGCCTACTTCCCACAGCGAGGAGAGACTCCACTCAACGTGGCCAAGCTCAACAGTTGGGACGACATTGCCCAAATCTTTGCACAGCCCAGTCTGGCCACAATATAGCTTTCAAGTCTTCGGCCCTATTTTAATTTTGCGTCAAGGTCGATGCTTCCAGCCCTTGTAATAACATGAGTAAATTGAGCGAGGCAAAGAAGACAATACGTGCAAGCCCCGCACACAAACATGTGTGCATACAAATACTATTGACAGACTTGGTGCCACGGCAAGCACAGCACAGTGCCAAACCAAAATCCTGAACTAAAAGAGCGGCTCAAACCTGATACCACTGTTCTCTCGCGCTCCGTCGTCAACCCGTCAAGATGCCAGAGCGACACTGTCCTTAGAAACTTGCCGGACAAGCAGTAGGATCAGGCGAACAGCAACAAATACGGCGAAACGTCGGATTCGACGGGGTTGTCTCGCACAAAATCGGCGAACTTGAGCCGCTTGGATATGAGCAGCCACCGTTGGTTGTCATGAAAGGCGCGTTTCCACTGCCAGATTGACTTGGTGCGTTCCGACATGTTGTCTCGGGTAGCCCAAGGCCTTGAGTAACAACGTCCATAAAACGCGCCGGAGAATTGATTGCATCCAATGGGCCGTCTTGGCATGGCAGCCCCAGCGCACTGCATGCGTCAAAGCAAGATTCACGCGATCCACCCGCTATCCACCCGGGCACTGCACCACTCGTAGTTGATGCTGTATCCAACGTGGTCGTAGTTGTCGTAGGATTGGGCGCCTGGTTTGTAGTGGTGGTTGTAATAGTCGCGCTGGTCGCGGCATTGGTTGTAGAGGTTGTGCTGGCTGTGCTAGTTGTGCTGGTTGATGTGGTTGTGGTAGCTGTGCTCGGTTTGCTAGTCGTACTGGTCGTGGTAGTTGTTGTGGTTGTTGTGGTCGTGGTACTCGTGGTGCTTGTGGTACTCGTGGTACTCGTGGTACTCGTGGTGGTCGTGATGGTCGTCGTGGTCGTGGTACTCGTGCTGGTCGTTGTCGTCGTGTTGGTCGTGGTACTCGTGGTACTCGTGGTGGTCGTGGTACTCGTGGTGGTCGTGGTACTCGTGCTAGTCGTGCTGGTTGTCGTGGTCGTGGTACTCGTGCTGGTAGTTATTGTGGTCGTGGTCGTGGTACTCGTGGTACTCGTGGTACAAGTGGTGGTAGTGCTAGTCGTGGTACTCGTGCTGGTCGTGGTACTCGTGCTGGTGCTAGTCGTGGTACTCGTGGTGGTCGTGGTGCTAGTGCTAGTCGTGGTACTCGTGGTGGTCGTGGTACTCGTGGTGGTCGTTGTCGTCGTGCTGGTCGTGGTACTCGTGCTGGTCGTTGTCGTCGTGCTGGTCGTTGTCGTCGTGCTGGTCGTGGTACTCGTGGTGGTCGTGGTGGTCGTGCTGGTTATGCTGGTTGTGCTGGTTGTGCTGGTTGTGCTGGTTGTGCTAGTTGTGGTGGTCGTGGTACTCGTGGTACTCGTGGTGGTCGTGGTACTCGTGGTGGTCGTGGTACTCGTGCTAGTCGTGCTGGTTGTCGTGGTCGTGGTACTGGTGGTACTCGTGGTGGTCGTGGTGCTAGTGCTAGTCGTGGTACTCGTGGTGGTCGTGCTAGTCGTGGTGGTCGTGGTACTCGTGGTACTCGTGGTACTCGTGGTACTCGTGTTCGTGGTGGTCGTGGTACTCGTGCTGGTCGTGCTGGCTGTGGTCGTCGTGGTACTCGTGGTGGTCGTGTTGGTCGTGCTGGTCGTGCTAGTCGTGCTGGTCGTGCTGGTCGTGCTGGTTGTAGTCGTTTCGGTTGTCGTGGTCGTCGTGGTCGTCGTGGTCGTGGTCGTCATGCTAGCCGTACTAGTCGTGCTGGTCGTCGTTGCCGTGGTGCTTGTGCTAGTCGATGTGATCGATGTGGTCGATGTGGTCGATGTTGATGTGAGCGGCAAAGGAAGCAGACTGGACTTTATGCGCACGACGCAGTCTTTTCTTTGTAGTAGACGGTCATCGATTTTTTTCAAGCACTTTTTCAGGGCCTTTGCGTCCTGCGTGGAATATAATTGTGGTTGCAGACAGTGTTTCGAGCATACGCACAAACGATCATGTTTGGAAGGTGTGAGGCCAGTCAGGAAGGCGCCCGTGTACATTCAACCACGCACACGCATGCTCACGTACCTGCTTTGTTTGGACTTTGACCTTGATGTCATAGCGTTTTTTAGTCGATTTTTCAGACAGCTTCAGGTCGTCTTCGTCACGAAGTCGCACGCGACATGGCTGAGAGGATGAATGGCCGGGCCAGGTGGTCAAGGCAAACCCCACCAATGCACTGGAACCTTTCGGGAACGCGAATCAGTGCAAGTTGCAAATGGTCGGATGCGAACCTCATCAATATACTCGCAGTTGTTGACGACGTTGGTGAGAATTTTGAAGACGCGCTTTTTGTCACGGTCTGACAAGGCTGAGCCACCTCGGCCACCGCAGGTGGCAGCCAGCTTCACCTGTTGAAAGACGCCAACATGAGTGAGGATTAACCAACGTGTGGGCCGCGTCCGACTGTGACAGCGGTGAGAAAGAAAACGTGGGAGAAGATGAGCATTGGGCGTACGCGCTTGCGGTGTTGATCGTCATCATCTTCATCGCAGCCTCGGAAGCGCAGGCAGCTCTTCTGGTTGTCGTCAAAGCAGGCTTTAGCTCGGAAACAGGACTGCGTCGCGAAATCGGAGCATGGTTCAATGTCATGGCAGTTGCAGCGCCCACCTAAGAGGTTGAAGAATTTGGCACGTTGGTAGCCGGAGAGGGGGTCAAACTTGAGCCTGTACAGGAGCATCGGTGCGGCGGAGCGGCAGACTGACTGCGTGGAGTTAGCTGGAATCCCGATGAGAAGCCTGAAACAAGGGCAAAGCCTTGCTAGGCGTGTTTTACTTTGACACCCTGAGCCTCGCTCTACACGTGCACGGAAAGGGCGTGAGAATCTGGGAGTGTTTGATGTGAGACGAGCTACGCTGGACGACGTCAAGGTGACCAAGTCCTCGAACCTCGAGAGCAATGAAACGTTGGCTGCCATAGAAAAAATCGCCGAGGTTGTCTTCGGAAGGTGTAAGGTTGGCGTGACCGAGGGCAGACAGGGTGAGGAGGAGAAGGATCAAGATACGACATGCACCCGACGAGCGGGTCAAAAGACCGCGCGTGATGGGATGGTTGGCCGTGGTGCCGGGGAGGGAACGAGGGCAGGGCATGATGGCGAGCCGAGTGTAATTGTGGATGACGGATGCTGGGCGCCCGTGGCCATGCGCAAAGGATTTTTCAAAGGTTCTGGGGTGGCGGGCGTAGGGGCGTGACGCTTGGCGCTCGGGGCCAGAGGCGAGAGGAAGGGCGGAAACAGGGAAAAGGGGAAATGACGAGGCGGCGGCAGTGTGAGTCAAAAGAGCATGGCCTTGCGTTCTTCCGTGAAGGGCTTGGGCACACACCTAGCAAAGGGCATGTTCAGGTCAATCGCATAGGCTGTGCTTGGGGTTGGAGGACATTTGCTGACGCGAGGAATGACCATGCAGATGAGCATGGGGGCGGTCGTAGTCACATTGGTATGCGTGGTCCACAGTCCGAATGCAGCACGGGGCAGCCACATGGCCATTCAGAAAGGCGGGAACGGGGCATGCGGGCCAGCCATCTAGACAAACCTCGTGCGGTACCTGCTGGCACCGCTGGTGTGGGGGGCATCAGCGCCAAACGCGGACGTGTGGAACGGGAGGGCAGGATGTCACTGCCACGGGCCTCTGGACATGAGAGGGGAATCGGCGCATTTGTTGAGGCCCGATCGGACGACTGTCCCCAGGCAACGGTGTCACACCGCCAGCAACGAGCGAGCCAAGCAGAGCGATGTCAAAACCAAAATCGCGCCGGGGGACATGTCGGATCCCATTGGAGTCGTACCCTTTGGCACGAAACGAAGCGTGACCCACATAGCAAGAGGGAGTTGTCGAGGCGAGGTGAGATTGGCGGAGGGCGGAGGGCCGAGACCAAGTTTGGGGTTTGGAAAAGGGCTGTGCGCGCTGAAAATGGGTGTCTTGGTGGCCGTGTGACTCCCGGGCATGAGTGGGAACGGCGTCTTTGTTCGACTCGAGGGTTGTGGTGTCGCCCGTCGCCGATGATTGCAGCAACAGCGGGCTGCTGTGTGGGCTCACGACCGGGATCGAAACGTTTGAGGGAGAAGACACGGCCATGAAGATGATGCCTTTATGCTGGCCTCCTCCCTGTGGTCACTCCCTGCCCGACCCTCTTCATACGCTCCCACTCCTGTGGTACAGAGCAGTATGCCCGCGACTACAGAGCAGTGCTTGTCACGACTGGCTCGATCCTCTCTAGTGCGCTCCAATCTTCACGACACTGACGCTCCCTCGCCAGACACCTCGCGCCTCCCTGGCCAGTGCGCCCGCGCCACCCCGGTCGCCGTGATCGCCTCTTGTCTCGAACACGAGCCGGCATTCGAGGACATGGGTGCAGTGCGCCAGCCGGCGTTTTATCAATCAGAGGAACAAAACGACTGTCTATTCTTTCTTTGCAACAGCACGAGGCGCAGGCACCAGCACTGCGGTCATGAGATGCGCCGTCTGCCGGATCAGTGACCCGCTGCCGTTCAGGACTTTGAGTGTTAAAAAGGGGCAAACTCAGTCAGGCAAAGATGTGCGACGACACGAGCACCCCGTGCAGTTGGATATCCACACACGATGTACCCTGATCCTTTTCCCCCGTACTGAAGCGCTCAATTGATAGGCACGGCGGGCCCGGGTGCCATTCACCGGGGATCAGGGAAGAATATCCACACACGATGTGCCCTGATCCTTTCCCCCCGTTTTTAAGTGCTCAATTGATCGACACGGAGGGCCCGGATGCCATTCGCCGGGGATGAGGGAAGCGACCCGGCTGCCCTTTCCGACCGACCAGCGAGCCGGCAGCAGGCGAAAGGGGTGAACGACTTTTGGGAAACCCAATGTCAGATGTCAGACGATTTTCCAACGCTCAAATGTGGAAAGAGACTTGGGGAGACGAGGAGACTGGGCATAAGAGAAGGCGGTTGGCTGACAACCGCATGTCAGAGAGAGCTTCAAACCGTCACTCGGTACCGCTTTCCGAAGCAAGCCAGCTACCCTTGCAGCTCAGAGATGCATGCCCACTCGTGCGCCCGCTTCAGAGATTAGTCCCGACTGCCTCCCCAACCGCCAGCGTCACTCCCATCTGGCCGTTACACACCTTTTTCTCCCTTTACCGACCTTTTGTTCCATCTCTCAAACTCTCCCTCTGTCCTCTCGCCTCTCTGAAATTGACCTCTGTCCCGCCCACATCTCTTTTCTCCCCATCTCTCTCTTCCACCTCCCTCGTAAATTCACCCCTCTCTCGTTCCCTCTGTTTTTTTGCTTCTCTCGCTCTTTTCTTGCTCTGGTTACCCCTCTCTCTCTCTCTTCTCACTCTCCCCCTCTCTCTCTCTCTCT